GTCAAGCCAGGTCAGGTCGTCGAGTGGAATCCAGATGGGCAATGACGAGTTGGGGGTCAGAGGCGAGGGTGACATGGATGAGATGGTGTGAGGAAGAAATGAAAGTTTATGGGAGAGTTGTGGAGTCAGGTTAGAAAGACTGGTGAAACGGGGGTGAAACAGTGACGTGCTACTGGAGCATTATGTTCCACTAGGAACCTAAGGGACAAATAATAATAATAATAATAATAATAATAACTGGTGGTGAGATTTGTTCAAGTGGAAGGAATAGAAAATGGGCCACTGTGAATAACGAGGGACGAAATGAAATGAAATCGACAAAAGTAACCGAAGGTGAATTATTAAGGCCAAGGTAGAGAAAGTGATTTCACAAAACGTTTTTCAATGCAAAATTTCGGTTTTTGTTCATGTATAGCTAATGCTTCAGGTCTGTGCATAAGTAGTGGGAGCGTAGACCTTTGGAGTAGTTCAATTTAACTTTGTAAATTACCTTAAAGGATGAAAATGTCGAGGTGCTGAATGACCTAACTCTACTAAGTGTTCACATATGGATAAAGTTGATTTTCTTCTCTCACCTATGGTAAGCCAAACTGGGAAATGTTCAGCAACACGTTTTCAGAGGGTCCGCTTACAATGTCCAATATAGTCAGCTCCACAGAAGCATGTGAATTTATAGATACACATAGGCGTGGACATTATTGGTAACCTATCCTTCTACTGCTGATACATTTCTTGTTCTTATTCATTAGTAAATGGGTATATCTTGTCAGTTGAAGGATTGCAAGAGCCCAGTAACAGTGTAGGGACTCATTGGGTTTCTTCGTTATTATGTCAAGCCTGCACAAGCCAATGCTAAAATTTCCAAGAGTGTTGGATCGCTTGTAAAAAGCTCCAATTTGATGTTTTCTTGAAACCCTTGGCCGAAAGGTAGAATTACTATACTGATGACGCAAAACTCATAATTCTAACAGCAACATTGTTTTCAGGTATTGCAATCTTCTCAATGCTATTTACAATGTGACTGAGAATACAACTAAGCTAAATTTTCTATTCGGGTGATTTTAAAGACCACCCTAGCAAGTGATGAGACAGCCAATTATATTCCTTTATTTTATGGAGAATTACTTTAACAGGAGAAATACTGTACCCTAATTGGTTATCTCAGCAGTTGCTAAGGCGGCTTTTGAAATCACTCTTTGATTCACATTGCTTCTCTTCACTTCGATATATCATCTTACTGATTTGTACGCATCCATGAACAATGTGACCAGATTTGTTTCATTTTCCAATCAAACACTATTATCATTTGACTATCTGAGATAGCCATAGTTTAGCAGACTAGTATTTATACTGGATGATGATTGAAGGTGAAGTGGAAATTTGGACCACAGTCGGATTCGAACCAGTTATCATCTGGCCGGAAACTCGGTGGTCTCTGGTTCGAATCCGGCCACGGTCCAAATTTTCATTTCAGGTTAAGTCATCACTCAGTATAAACACTACTATGTTCCCTACTTTGTTACTATCCTTAATTAATCCAGATGCGTAAAAATATCAACTGTCAGGCATCAATCTTTTACAATTTCCTAATTGATTACTATTCACCCGGCTGATAGTGGAGAAGACAGACCGAAACGCGTAGAAGAAACTTAATTTAGACAAAGTATATTGGAAGATATGTAGAAACGTACATGACCTTGAAAGCGTATACGGGATAATCATATCAATGCGATGAGCGAAGAAAGGAAATAGACGATTGAAGGACAGACATCCATAATTCATCGACTGTCTGTCAGTCTATCAATAGTCAAAATTAGTCCAAACTAAATTTTCATTGGTCCGTTTTCCAGACTAGTTAACCTGTCCATTTATCATACACGTTTCACACTGCATAGAAGTGGCTTTTTCCACTTAAATGGGATTTAACAAAATATGAATATTACTGTTATTATATTATTACTATTAGTTCTTCGGTTTCTTAGTGGAACATAGGGCTTCAGTAGCACGTCGCTATTTCACTCTCTTCTCTGCAACCTTTTGAACCCGGCTCCACGATAGCCCACAAGCTCTCATTTCCTCCTCACACTATCTCCTCCATGTCACCCTCGCCTCGGACGCCCAACTCGTCGTTTCCCATCTAGGTTCCACTCGAGGGCCTGGTGCGTGATGTCCCCGAAGGCTTTCACCAACCGGTGTCATTTCGTCTCTCCGATTCCAGTGAGGAATAAGTTTGTTTTTATTTTTTGTATTTTGTCTATGCTTTGAAGTTTCTGTGGAGATCTTCTGCACTCAGCATGCGGAACAAGATCCGGATTTTCAACACTAACGTCAAGTCAGTGCTTCTGTATGGCTCAGAGACTTGGTGCGTCACGAAAGGCATTTCCAATAAACTACAGACATTCATCAACAACTGCTTACGCTCACTACTGGAGATCAGATGGATTGTCAGAAAGAATAAGCAACAAGGAACTCTGGGAACGAACCAACCAAGAACCTATCACGCAACAAATATGCAGGAGGAAGTGGAGATGGATTGGCCATGCACTGAGAAGGCCGGCTGAAGACATCACGCGTCAGGCCCTCTAGTGGAATCCCCATGGGAAGCGACGAGTTGGACGTCCGAGGGTGACATGGAGAAGGTAGTGAGAGGAGGAAATGAGAGCTTCTGGGCTGTCGTGGGACCAGGTTCAAAAGATCTCAGAGGACAGAGGTCACTGGAGGCGTGCTACTGAAGCCCTATGTTCCACTAGGAACCCGAGGGACTAATAATAAAAAAAATAATTTGAAGTTTCTGTGGCGGTTAGATCGGTTTTACGGGGTAGGGTTGCTAGCCGTATGCCTAACCTTCCCTCTTTACCTGGGCTTAGGACCGGCTAGTAACTAGTGAACTAGTTAACCAGACAAGGTTGAATATTACTGTTACAGATACCAAATGACAGTTCATGGCATCATAGAATAGTGAAGTGGATAGTGTTAACCAGTTCCTCTATCACTATAGAAACGAAAATGATGACGATGAAGGATAACTGGCGCTAAGTAATACGTTCATTTAAGATAGTTAAAAGAAGATTTATGAAGATTGAGCCTAATGTTTCAAGAAAGCATGATCATCTAACAACGTAATACTTCAGTTATCGACCCTCAAAGGCTTTATGGCTGTGTACATTACTCTGAGGTGTCAGAAAAACTTACTGATAGCATATGATGAAACTATTAAGTAAGAAATGTTGAAATTGGAGGTTTATGGGGATTTATTTATTAACTTCAAGTTAATATTCATCATAGACTGACGTCAGTTGGAGAACCATTGTAAGCCTGGGAGCACTGGACAGCTGTTTCTTCCTAGTATGGGACTCCTCAGCAGTGCATGTTCATCACTCCGTTCTCCAGAGATCGAACTCAGTTAGTCAATCTGTGATAAATACAAACACTTGAAATCAATAATTAAATCTTCACATACTTCCTAACTGAAATACTTTCCAGTGCAGATTTAGTGAGTTGCTTAGAGATAAGACTCACGCAGTTCTAACTAGGAGTCGTGACGGGCGCGACAAACCAAGTCAGACGTGAGGAAAGATATTAAAAGATGGCATTGAATGGGAGTCAAGCTATATCACTCAAAAACTGACTGAAGTAGAAAAATATGGACCACTGAAATTCGAACTAGTCGCTCAATGGTAACGTACTTGACAGCACTAAGTTCAATCCCTGGCCGTGCGATGAAAAGCTAAAGGTGTGAACCGCTGAGAATTCCCATTCTGCGACAAAACAGCTATCCAATGCTGTCATGTTCTCAATGGTTCTCCAACTGATATCAGCTAATGATGAGTACTATGTGATAAAGCTAAAAATTAATCACAGCAGCTATGTTCTTTCTTTCTTAAACTCAGAATCTCATACTATTATTATTTGTCTCATGGGTTCCTAGGTGAACATAGGGATTCAGTAGCACATCTCCATTCCACTCTCTTCTCTCCAGTCTTTTCAACCTGTCACCACAACTACACACAACCTCTCATTTCTTCCTCACACACACCATCCCCTACATGTCACAATCACCCCACACCCCCAACTCATCGCTTCCCATCTGGCTTCCACTCCAGCAACTGGCCTATCGCGTGATGCCCACAGTCGGCCTCCTCAGTCTGTGTATGCCCAATCCAGTCGATCTCCACTCCCTTCCAGCAGTGCATATTTGTTGAGCGATAGCCTCTTGCTTAGTTGGTTGGTCACCAGCCGGAGTTCCCTGTTGCTTATTCTTTCTGGCCATCCATCTGACCTAATCTTCAGTATCGAGTGAGCGTAGGCAGTGAGTAGCTGGTTGATGAATGTCTGTAGTTTGTTGGAAATGCTTTTGGGGACACGCCAAGTTTGTGAACCATCACACGGAAGTACTGACTTGACTGACATTTGTAGTGTTGAAAATCTGGATGTTGTTCAGGCGTTATGCTGATTGCAGTGGTGTAGATCTCCACACCGATTGAAGATTGAAGTCGGAAGGCCTGTCTTGTTGTCTTTCCAATCCTGGCTGGTTTTGACATTCTTGTCTGTGCCTGTGCTGCAAGCTGTAATTGAAACAGTGCTGTGTGGGTAGGTGTAGATGAAAGGGTTTACTTCCTTTAAGTTTCTCTCTCAGTGGCCTAGTGGATAACTCTTTCGTGTTTGAAGAGACTGGTTCGAGGTTTGAATCTCAGTGGGAACACCAACAGTCACTGGGATACAGGGGAATATCCAGCTGACCAGTCTTAAATGAGACGGGTCCTGGATTTGACTGCTAGCCATCAACAAGTAAATTATAATCTCGCCTGTTTAACTAGTTCACTAGTTACTTGCCTGTCCTAAGCCCGGGTAAAGAGGGAAGGTTGGGTATACACCTAGCAACCCTACCCGCAAAATCAATTCAACCGCTAAACAAACATCAAAGGATAAACAAAATATAAAAAATAAAGCAAAATATACTACTGAATAACTTTTTATTCTGAAAACTATTAAACATAACTATGTAGTTGCTGATAACAAAATGTGTTGTATGATCATTTGTTCTGCTAGGCAGTAATGTAACTTGTTTCATCCGTATCGATTTTCAGACTGAAGGGGTAGCTGTTAGTTAGATGAAGGGAATGGGTAAAAAGTCCTGAACTTAGTTTTCTTGTTTGTTGATATTCATCAGGAAGGTGTATCTATAACCTCAAGGAAAGTGATATCCTCTTCAAGCTTTGAATGTTCATCATTTGATGCTGCAGTCAGAGATGTTACCATTGTGTCAGTAGGGTTGTGATTGATCTCCTGCAGGAATGGATTAAATGCACTTTAAAAGGTGTTAGTTAGATTAGGGTAATCGATAGAATATTATCAATCTAAGTTTCGAGCTTGATAGGACTCATCAGCAACGTGTATCTGCAATATCGATAGAATCATTGTCAAAACACTAATTGAAAGGACTAATAATTTAGATTTTTTAAAATAATTTTCAATAGTTTACACCACTTGACAAATAGATTGTACCTTTAACTCCATTTACTATCAGCCATGATATTCCTGATTGTAGTGGACTGGATCATACAACAAATAGTGAGGAGAGAAAAGAGGGGGATATGCTGGACTGGGGAAAAGATCCTACAAGATCTCGACTTCGCCGATGATCACTTGTGTCTAATGTCACACAAACTTGAAGATCTACAGGCGAAAACTAACAAGTTGACAGAAGAGGCGAGGAGAGGCGAGGCGAGGTGAGGCAGCGAAGGGAGACGGGACATCCTTCAGGTGAATGTAAAGAAGACAGTGGTGATGAAGTTACCCAAACAACAACAGCATCAACAACAAGCTCCAATCACCATCAATGGGAGAAACTTAAAGGAAGTAGTCTCTTTCATCTACACCTACCCACACAGCACTGTTTCAATTACAGCCTGCAGCACAGGCACAGACAAGGATGTCAAAACCAGCCAGGATTGGAAAGACAACAAGACAGGCTTTCATTAACCTCAAATAATCAGTGTGGAGATCTACACCACTGCACTCAGCATAACGCCTGAACAACATCCAGATTTTCAACACTACAAATGTCAGTCAAGTCAGTACTTCCGTGTGATGGTTCACAAACTTGGCGTGTCCCCAAAAGCATTTCCAACAAACTACAGACATTCATCAACCAGCTACTCACTGCCTACGCTCACTCGATACTGAAGATTAGGTCAGATGGATGGCCAGAAAGAATAAGCAACAGGGAACTCCGGCTGGTGACCAACCAACTAAGCAAGAGGCTATCGCTCAACAAATATGCACTGCTGGAAGGGAGTGGAGATCGACTGGATTGGGCATACACAGACTGAGGAGGCCGACTGTGGGCATCACGCGATAGGCCAGTTGCTGGAGTGGAAGCCAGATGGGAAGCGATGAGTTGGGGGTGTGGGATGATTGTGACATGTAGGGGATGGTGTGTGTGAGGAAGAAATGAGAGGTTGTGTGTAGTTGTGGTGACAGGTTGAAAAGACTGGAGAGAAGAGAGTGGAATGGAGATGTGCTACTGAATCGCTGTATTCCATTAAGACCCCAAGGGTCAAGTAATAATAATAATAATAATAATAATAATAATAATAATAAACTCCATTAATCAATGAAATTCTTCTCATTGAAGAACCCAATTTATTTCCGAATATATATAAATTGAAAATTCTATTAGTATAATGAACGTTTCAAATGGTGTCATATTTAGAGGGCTCATTCACTGATTTTTGATGATATTAAATTCAGTCATATCAATAAGAATCGAAAACTGATATAACTGGAAATAATCAAGCAGTTGAGTTTTAGCTGGTGATTTTCAAATAGCTGATTAACAGTTTATAGGTTAACCCACTGACATGTAACTGATTGATGTATATCAGAAAGTGCTATAGCTGTTAACGATGCATAGATATTGAGTGTTAGCCATCAACATTCAACAATTTGCTAGTTGATTCCCTATCCAACTAATTAATAGAGAAGATAATGATAGATGTGTATTGCGACCGCAGACAAGAATATAGGAAAATATATCTAATATGTATGGATAGATAGTTCGTTGTTTAAAATAATCCTATTTGTTGGCTGATCCACCATCTGGCTTTCTAACTATAAAAGTGATAACATAAAGTATATTTTGATTGATTCTTCTCCAGACTAGTCATTTCTGTTGATCCACATATCAGTATTGTTATTATTATTATATTACTTGTCCCTTGAGTTCCTAGTGGAACATAGGGATTCATTAGCATGTCTCCATTTCACTCTTTCTTCTCTCTTCTTCTCTTTCATTTCTTCCTCACACTATCTCCTCCATGTCATCCTTGGATACCCAACTCATCGTTTCCCATTTGGGTGTCATTCGAAGTCTTAGCGCGTGGCGTCCCCAAATGCCTAATCCAACTCCACTTTTTTTTCTGCATATTTTTTTAGGCGATGGGTTGTTGTTTCCTTGATTCATTGGCAGTCAGAGTTCCTTGGTATTTATTCTTTCTGGTCATCTGATCTCCATCTTCAGTATCGAGCCAGAGAAGGCAACTGCTCATGTATGATGTCTGTAGTTTATTGGAAATGTTTTTCGTGACGTGACAAGTTTCTGAGCTTATGAATATTATAACTGAATGAATTACATTCATTATTTTAGTCTTTGTATTGCCCAATGGATGTAAAAGAAAACTAATGGAAAGATATCCATCCACTGAATACCAGTGACATTATCATCAAGTCCCCAAAAATTCTCCTTAAAGACACTACTTATTTCACATACAAAGAAAACCTAGACAGACAAACTGATAGTGTTGTTATAGGTTCACCTGTTTCATCCATAATAACAAACCAGAGATTCTTAGAACAGTTCAATTGTAGATCTCTCAGTATCAAGTTCAGCTCAGAAGAAGAGACAGGAACTGCCTTTCCTTTATTGTGTCTTGTTAACTGGAAACAAAATGAACATTTAGATGTCAGGATTTTCAGGTAAGCAACATATTCGAACAAATATTTAAACTTCAATCCATCAAATCTAATCAGCAATGTGTTACAGTTTCTGTTGTCACCTTCAATCTCTTAAGAAGAGCATATACTCACTCTGACAACAGATGAAAAATGAAAACGTTAAAGAATTACAATATGTGAACAAGATACTTCAAATGAATAATTAATTATCCGATGAAATTCATTCACAAAATAGAAAATAACAATAAAAGTTATCATTTACAGATCACATATACATCAGATGAATTTACGAGAGTGCTCAACTAAGTCAATATCATCACAGTGTTCTATAGGACATTAAACAGATTGCCCAACATCTTAGTTCATTTGAAGGATGAGATCCTTTTAGATTTACAATCTAACTGTGGCTTTAAAATAAAATGCTTAGACTGTGATGACATATACATAGAATAAACTTCTTGTGAAATCGAAATGAACATTGAAAAACTTCCACCCGACTCCCTAGAAGTCTAATAGAATTTAGAAAAGCTTGAAAGCACTTCAGCCATAGCTGTATATAGTAAAATTTTAGGTCATAAGGTCGAATCATTGATTATATTAAAATAATTCAGAAGGTCTCATAGAAGAATCTCTTCATATTAATTGGATTGATAAAGACTGATGTCGAAGTAGACAAAGGTGTATGTGAGGAGGAGGAATTTAAAAAGGAAGGTTAGAGGAAATATTCAAGCATTAAGCGATGTAAAAGACTGGATACATGTGCACTACTGCCACTAAGATTCCGCAATGATTGATTCCTATAGTCTCACAGACCCCGGTCAAGTAGTCTACACCTCCTAACAGTACCCCAGTCCAACAGTTAGAGATTTTTATATACTGGTATCACGTGCTGGTTGGGCCACCCTGAGCCTTCTTCCAATCTAATCAAACTCCACTCACCATTACATGTCAAGGTAGTTGATGTACTGTCATAACCTCACCGACTAACTTGCCTTCCTTGCCTAGTACTCTTTGCCTGACCTTAGCATTGCTGACATAGTGATTCCATTAAACAACAACAATACTACGATGATACATATCATGAAAAAACCTGTAGTCACTTCATATCTTCAGTCGTATAACAAGATAGAACGGACTGCGGTGCAATACGCTTGTCGTTTAATAGTTAGTTGGTTATCTGTCTAGTCGATCCCAGAGACGATACAAGTAGGCAAATGTAAAATGAACCTTCTGTATCCAAGCTGAGATGTCATCAACAGCCAGCTCGTTTGCGTTGTACCGTTAATACTGGTTTGAAGCCTTGTTAACTGGAATATCCAGCTGTCAACTTACACTATTTACCCTTATATCTCGAATCTGTCATCTGTAGAAAGTTCCATGTACAAGAAGCAATTTTTCATGCTTTTTCGAACCTATTTCTCTCCTTAATTTAAACCTTGTAATATCTGATTGTTCACTTCGTCTGACTGAATCTTAGTTCATTAAATGTAATCGGGATTAATCTCTACTTGATGTAAGGTTCATGCTTGTTGACACTTATGTCAGCCAACCTCAAGGAAACTGATGTTTTCTCTGAGATATGAACTTGCGTCACCCAATTGTCGTAGTCAGCAGCGTTATTACTATTGAGCTATTTAGCCATTCCAGAGACCAATCAACGAATTGAGCCTATTGTTGGTATATACGCGCATACTTAAAAGGTTAAGTGAATATTGTCATGATTTGTTTAATGGTAGGATACTGATAGTTTCTAGCCTACTATTCCCAATTAGGAAAAAAACACTCACTGTCAATTCTAAATAGATGATTTATTCAATTAGCATTATATTCTTGCCTGGTGATATCCCAATTTTGAGAATACTTGCTGAAGGTTGTTTACAACTTATCAACTGGTTTATTTTTCATTTTCAAAATGCCCACTGAGGGTGGGAAACATGAGAAGGCTTCAGGTGTTCAACTACCGTTGCCTTCATAGTATAGGCCGTGTTTCGTGGTCTCACCACGTGAGTAATGCAGGTCAGGTATAGAGTTTTAGGGAGAATAGGGGTGTCAGTTGGTGTTGGCTGGCTTGGATGTGTGTTACGCAAGCCTAGTCACCATCTGCCTCGTCATACAATCTTGGCTAAAGTATGTTCCAGCTGGAAAAAGGTTAAGGGCAGCAAACTAAACCGTGGGATTGCTTCATGAAGTCGTTGAGCTTTGAGCCATGTACACAGATACACACTAGCCGGTTGGGGTTCACATGTTAATAGAAGCCATCAGCTTGGAGATATTGATATGCCTCAGAATCGTTGTCAGTGGTACAGATGTATCCAAGCATTACCTTCATT